GCTCGGAAGCCATCTTGAGCCGTGTGAGACCGTTTTATTGTACGGTACGAGGTGTACAAGATGTACAAAAGCACAAGAGGTCCTATTGTAGGGTAATATTTCCGTCAGGTTGGCTGATAGCAATAATTTAAGCCTATTTACCTGAACGGAGGTAGTCCTTCCATACCGAGCCCCTAAAAATGGGGGGAGGGGGGCGGTTATAAACAATTTCACTACATTTCACTATGGTCTTGTTCACACGGACCCCAGTTTACTTCTGCCAAATTTTCCATATCTAAGATGGCTACATACATACATACATTTATTAGTACAACATCACATTTAAGATAAGACATAATCAACAATAGTACGCCACAATACTCGGTTTGCGGCTGCCGCTCTCCATCCTCGGTCATGCCCAATGCTCGCTAGATCACGCTCTACCTGGTCCGCCCATCGTGCTCTCTGCGCTGCACGCCTTCTTGTGCCAACCGGATCAGTAGCGAACACCAACTTTGCAGGGTTGTTGTCCGGCATTCTTGCAACATGCCCTGCCCACCGCATCCTTCCGGCTTTGGCCACCTTCTGGATGCTGGGTTCGCCGTAGAGTGCAGCGAGCTCGTGGTTCATTCTTCGCCGCCACTCACGGTTCTCATGCACACCGCAGAAGATCGTCCTTAGCACACGTCGCTCGAAAACTCCGAGTGCTTGCAGGTCCTCCTCGAGCATAGTCCATGTATCGTGTCCTAGAGGACCACCGGTCTTATTAGCGTTCTGTACATGGTACATTTGGTGCGGGGGTGAATCTTTTTTGACCGTAGTTTCTTCTGGAGCCCGTAGTAGTCACGACTTCCACTGATTTCACGACTCACATTGTTGTCAGCCGTCAGTAAGGATCAAAGGTAAACTAATTCCTCCACTACCTCGAAAGTATCCCCGTCTATCGTGACATTACTTCCTAGACGAATCCTGTCATGTTCGGTTCCGCCTACTAGCATGTACTTTGTTTTTGACGTACTCACCACCAGTCCGACCTTTGCTGCTTTGTGTTTCAGGCGGGTGTTTAGTTCTGCCACCGTTCCAAATGTTCTTGCGATAATGTCCATGTCGTCCGCAAAGCACACAAATTGACCGGATTTCGTGAAAATCGTACCCCGGTTGTTGAGCCCAGCTCGTCGCATTACACCTTCTAGAGCGCTGTTGAAGAGTAGGCATGAGAGTCCATCAGTCAGAGTCACCTTGTCGCAGTCCCCGGCGAGATTAGAATGAACTGGATAGTTCACCCGAAACCCTTACGCAGATTTGCACACCGTCCATCGTTAATTTGATCAGTCTGATCAGCTTCCCAGGAAAGCCGTTCTCGTCCATGATTTTCCATAGCTCTGTGCGGTCGATACTGTCGTATGCCGCCTTAAAGTCGATGAACAAATGATACGTTGGGACCTGGTATTCACGGCATTTCTGGAGGATTTGCCGTACGGTGAAGATCTGGTCCGTTGTCGATGAAGCCGGCTTGATAACTTCCCACGAAATCGGTCATTTTAGGTGATAGACGACGGAAAATGATCTGGGATAGCACTTTGCAGGCGGCATTCAAAATGGTGATCGCTCTGAAGTTCTCACATTCCAAATGGTCGCCTTTCTTGTGAAATGGGGCAGATTACCCCCTCCTTCCACTACTCCGGTAGCTGTTCTGTTTCCCAGATCCTGACTATCACCCGGTGCAGGCAGGTGGCCGACTTTTCTGGGCCCATCTTGATGAGTTCGGCTGTGATACCATCCTTACAGGCTGCTTTGTTGTTTTGAGCTGCTGGATGGCATCCTTAACTTCCCTCAGCGTGGAAGTTGGGTCAGTTCCGTCCTCTGCTGCACTGACGTAGTCGTTTCCTCCATTGCGCTGGTCTCCCGTGCGTACGTTCTCCTCGCCATTCAGGTGCGCATCGAAGTGCTGCTTCCGCTTTTCAATCACCTCACGTCCATCCGTCAAGAGGCTCCCGTCCTTATCCTTGCACATTTCGGCTCGCGGCACAAAGCCGTTGCGGGATGCGTTGAGCTTCTGGTAGAACTTCCGTGTTTCTTGGGAACGGCACAGCAGTTCCATTTCATCGCACTCCGCTTCTTCCAGGCGGCGTTTTTTCTCTCGAAAGATGCGGGTCTGCTGTTTCCGTTTCTGTTTATAGCGTTCCACGTTCTGTCGGGTTCCATGCTGCAGCATAACCGCCCGCGCTGCGTTCTTCTCCTTCAAAATCGCTCTGCACTCCTCGTCAAACCATTCATTCCGTCGACTTCTTTCCACGTACCCGATGGTGCTCTCGGCTGCGTCGGTGATGGCTGCTTTTACTGTACTCCAGCAGTCCTCTAGAGGGGGCACATCAAGCTCGCCCTCCTCTGGCAACGCTGCCTCGAGATTCTGCGCTTATGCTAAGGCGACATCTGGTTGCTTCAGTCGCTCTAGGTTGTACCGTGGTGGGCGTCGGTACCGTACATTGTTGATGACGGAAAGTTTTGGGCGCAGTTTGACCATCACCAGGTAGTGGTCAGAGTCGATGTTAGCGCCACGATATGTCCTGACGTCGATAATGTCGGAGAAGTGCCGTCCATCAATCAGAACGTGGTCGATTTGCGATTCCGTCTGCTGTGGTGATCTCCAGGTGTAACGATAAGGGAGGCTGTGTTGGAAAAAGGTGCTACGTATGGCCATGTTCTTGGAGGCGGCGAAATCGATGAGTCGTAGGCCGTTCCCGTTCGTCAGCTGGTGGGCGCTTAACTTTCCAATCGTCGATCTGAATTCCTCCTCCTGGCCTACCTGAGCGTTTAGGTCTCCTATGATGATCTTGAGGTTGTGGCTTGGGCAGCGATCGTCCTCGCGGTCGAGCTACGCGTAAAATGCGTCCTTGTCATCATCAGTGCTTCCGGAGTGAGGGCTGTGCACGTTGATTATGCTATAGTTGAAGAATCGGCCCATGATCCTCAACATGCACATTTTTTCGTCGATCGGCCACGAACCGTTCACGCGCTTCTGCATTTCACCCAGCTCGCGTGTGTTGCCGGCAGGGTTGAAAAAATCATGAAAAAATCACCAGCATTCACTATGAAATGAATTTTTCATCCATAGTGAACTTTGATGAATTTTAGTGATTTTTTCAGCCCTGGTTGCCGCAACTCTGGTAGATGGTATGATTACCTCTAAACGTTCGCACCATGGATCCTGTCCAACACACCTCCTGCAGCGCTACGATGCCGAATCCGCGGTCCTTCAGTAGATTGGCGAATATTCGGGTGCTCCTGATGAAATTGAGAGATCGATAGTTCCACGTGTCGAGTTTCCAATCGCAAATCCTATTTCGTCGCTGGGGTCGTTGCCGTTGGTCTCGGTTCGTATTCCTCTGTTGCTGATTTTCCGTAACAATGCTTTTTTACGGCTGGCTCGCAGGGCCTGACACCAGCCCACTAACTTTCTGGAGGACCAGGGTGCACAGTTGTGCTTAAGAATCCTTCACTGGCACTCGGACGTAGATCAGCCGTTCCTAACATGGGGAAAAGACGCTGTTGTGAGCCGCTCCTCCTGGAGAAGAGACGCTCAGGCTTGCCGAAGCAAACCCCCTCCCCCCCCCCCCTTTCCTGTCAGCCTATGACCAAAGTTCCCACCGTGGTTGGTTACCCGATCTTCCCTGAGGTTGCTCACAGTTCCCGGCCTGTATCACGGGGAGGTAGGGATAGGAGTTGCTGGGATGAGGCTAGTGATCTCAATGGGATCTGTATTGCACATTACCCAGCGTTTGCCAGCTAAGATGGCTCTCTTCAATCAATTTAGCCAATCCTCTTTTCAGCATATGCGCATCCACTTTTACCTTAGGCTACGATTTTCTTCCCTTCAGCATCCTTTGAGTGTTTTGGCAGCGGCACTAGCCCTCTCGCTCTTGTGTATGTCTACTGTTTTAGCACAGACAAACAGACGTAACTCTTCATTGTGTATCTTCGTTGATGCATTTAACGGTTGATTTGAACATTATCAGTTCCGCGAACTACTCGCCGCAGCGCTGGCATCGGATCACTTTGACGTTTCTATATATTCTATAGAACTTTTATGCAATATTGTTTACGAGTTAGCGAGCAAGCTTGTTTTCCGCGAGAAGCCAGAGAGATGTCGTTACTGAGGTTATATGTTTTGAGATACTATGTTTTCAAGAACAAGTTTTTCAAAGAGTTACGTCTGTTTGTCTGTGGTTTTAGGGTTAACAAAACGTGAATTTTCCCAACCAACAATAACTCATACAGACGAGAATCCACGGATTGTAACCAACTGGTTACAAGTTTGAATTGGAGTGAAAAATTAACATAGTTTGTTTATTTAGGAAACCTTCGGTTGTTACGTTGATCAGTTGCTTACTGGGATACCGATTATTCCAACAACGAACAACGAATAGATTTTCTAAAAACATATCATCCAGTTCCCAAGTTTCATCATTTATTAAGTTTGACATACCGGTTGCAAAACAAAGAATCTCAAATATTACAACAGCAAATCAAGCACCAAACCCATCATCTTCGATTACACACTGACACGGAAATATACAGTTGATATCGGCTTGCGGTTCGTCGTGTCACCAACCACCGTGTGAAAAGCTGATTCGGATCACCGACTTTGTGACTGGCTCGGGGGGATCCGGTTTCATACGCTACGATCTGCATCTGTTATTTTTTTTTCTATTATTGTAAGTACTTACTTCGAAAGGAATTCAATTCATCGACACAGTCTTCTTGACTGTGATGGTGACCTTCGAGGACGCACTGCGGCTCAATGAGCTTCCACCGACCGCTGGAGCCGACTGCGTTTCGCCGAACCTAGTTAATTTGCAAACACAAAAATCGTTAGAAAAATCCATCGTCCCGCCGTTTGGACCAATACAAGACACATATGACACAATTCTAATTTCTACTTACTACGAATATATATTCTGTTTGTTGCTACACAGGAAAAGACAGGAGGACAGTTCGGATTGATTGATGGTCACTTGTGCTTATCATTTTCTTATGACATATTAAATATATTCAAAAATGTTTCTTGCGGTTTTCAATAGAAGATAAGTAATATTCTGAGAGTACTCAATTCGTGCTAAACTCGGTTGCTCACAATTTGCAAGGGTCGAAACGGAAGCATAAATGCTAGAAAAATTATTTTCGATGAAGAATACTGACAATAGTTGGAACTCCAATTAGGAAAAACGAAAAATGGAAAGATTGCGACGTTCAGACATTTAGAAAATGGAAAGATAGGTAGGTAGGTAGATAACTAAAAACTAAACAAATAAACACATATATACGGAACCAAAGCCCGAATCCAGAAGAAAAAAAAAAAGAGAATCAAATGAGGATCAATTACTGTTCGTCCTTGTCCTTGGCTCCGTGCTTCAGGATTCTGGTGAACTCGATGTAGTCGAACATGGTATGCTTGATCGGAGCCTCGCGGAACATCTCGTCCACATCCTCGTCGGTGAACCGGTCGCCCATCGTGGTCAACAGCTCCCGCAGCCGTTCCTCGTTCAGCATGCCCGTGTTCTCCTCGTCGAAGCAACCGAAGGCGTTCTTGATGACATCCTCCGGATCGGTGCCCTGCAGCCGCTCGCCGAACAGTGTCAGAAACATGGTAAAGTTGATCGGCCCGGGCGCTTCGTTCATCATGCCGTCCAGGTAATCCTCGGTCGGGTTCTTGCCGAGCGAGGCCAGCATATCGTGCAGGTCTTCCTTCTCGATGAAACCGTCCCGGTTTTGGTCGATCATGTTGAAGGCCTCCTTGAATTCGGCAATCTGGGCCTGGTCGAACATGGCGAACACGTTCGAGGTGGCGCGCTGGGCACGCTTCTTCGTCGTTCCACGACGGCCGGCCGTTTTGCGGGAAGACATTGTGCTCGTTTGGTGTGACGTGACGGATTATCTGTGGTGGAGGGAAAACAGTAAAGAAGCAGTCAATAAACGGTCAGTTCAGTTGATGAATACGTCAAGGAAAAGAAGACGGCCAAAGACGTCTGGGACGCCCTGAAGAATGCTTTCGAGCGAATTGGGATTGCAGGCAAGTTAATACTCAAGAAGCAATTCCAAGAGCTACGGTTGAATGAAGGTGGCGACGTGAAGGCTTTCTTACTTCATCTCGAGAAGATTCTGCGAGAGTTGAGGGCGGCGGAAGTCAATATGCAGGAAGATGACGTTGTGTGCCAGCTCCTGCTTGCCCTTCCCAAATCTTACAGAGCGCTCATTACGGCCCTGGAGACGATACAGCCACTACAGTTGACATTGGAATACGCAAAGAAGCGACTTCTGGATGAGCAGGTGAAGCGAGTAAATTCAAGTCCTGCAAGCGATGCGGAACATTCGGAAGGTTCGGCATTTGCTGGTAAGAAGTCTGGCATTAAATGCTTTGGCTGCGGAAAGTTCGGGCCCAAGCGGGCTGACTGTCTGGAAAATCGTCCCACGGAAGAATCTGGACCACCACGGCACCGAAAGAATGGAGGAAAATTTCATGGAAAGCAGAAGTTTGGAGCAAACGTTGCCGAGGAAATGCTACGTTATCCGAAAAGCGTATCGTCTGGATTGTTGATTCTGGTGCGACGGACCATCTGGTAAGGAGCAAAGCTGTCTTTGAAGTATTGCATCCGTTGGCCAAGAAGGTGCGTATTGCGGTGGCTAAATCTGACCAAGCACTCGTCGCAGAGTATGCAGAATCCGTGAAGGTCGACGGAAGAAAAGTACCGGCAGTAGTGAAGGATGGCCTTCATGTACCACAGTTGGAATGCAACTTGCTCTCGGTGCGATGCGTTGAAGACAACGGAATGGCAGTAAGAATTTCGAACGGAACCGTGAAAATTCTGCCAGTGTGGAGGGATCATCACCCAGCATGTCGCGTATGCTATTTGGAAGACCGTGGAATTCCCGCAGGTTCAGATACTGGGGGCTGGAATGTGTTCGATTGAGGCTGGAGTTCTACAACCAACGCAAGTCCTGTGGAACGGCGTTCCACCGAAGTTGTGCGAGATCTTCGGTGTGACCGGTCCTCAAACGCGACGCTATATCTGATCCCGCTGGTTCAACTGTTCTGTCCATTTCCTCGTCATCCCTTTGATCCGTCTGATGAAGAGGGAGCGATTTTGGGCCCACTCTGCGTCCCAAGCTTCCCGTACTTTGCTAACGATCCACCGCTTGACATCGTGTAACGGTACTTCGTTGGTATAGCGAGGGGCAGATGGTCCTGCCCCAGCCAGAAAGTCAGCATCAGAGTTGCCTGGTATTCCACAGTGCCTCGGAACTCAGCAGAATATCGTGTTTGGTGGTGCGGACTTCATCGTCGCCTGTACCCAGGGATGAGTCGGAGCCTCAGATGTCGCTCAGGGCTTGTATGACGCTGTGCGAATCCGTGAGGACCAGGATCGGTCGGTCGGAGAGCGTTGTAGCAGCGATGAAGATGGCAGCAGCTTCAGCAGAGAAGACAGAACATTGCGACGGTGTGATGTTTCCGGCTAGACCGATACCGACCCCGGCCCGAGAGCAAGATCCGTCGGTCTATCGGTGAGTCTGCGTGGGGTATTTTTCTCCTAACATTTCAGCTACAGTCCTTTTCATGGCTGCGGAATTGTCTCCGGCTTTGAACCTGTCCTTAATCCGGCTTTCGATTTTGGTAATGGTATTTGCCAGCATTTGTCTCCATGCCAGTGGACCCTGGCCACCTGGGGGGAGATTTTCGTTGGCAGCCGTGCGGAGGAGTCTGTTCCCCTCGTCGAGGAAGAAGATCCCTTGATTTCCGGATGTCTTCGAGATTAAAGCAGCGGTTATACGAAAGCGGAAAGGCAGGATGCCTGCGTCAATGCATGCAGCGTCAGCGGGGGTGCTATCGTAGCTAAAAGCTTATCCGTTGCGATGCAGGTCATCTCCAACCCGTACAGAAGCCGACTGTCGAGATAATTGCACTCGCCACGTGAAAACGGATGCTGCGGTTGTTCGATCTATTCTGTCGGTAAATGGTCCGGATGAGATTCACTCGGCTGCGGCAATTTTTCTTGAAATGCTGTTCAAAGTTGGGGAATCGGTCAACGAGAACTCCCGGAACTTGGACGGCCTCCTAATCGGTGTCCGCTAATTCTGTGTCGAGAACTCCGTTCATCGCCACGAGGAACAGGGCGATAACCGATCCTTGTGGGACACCCGTTTCCTCGGGGAAAAGCTGGGATTTTTGTGTTGCCGACCAGTGCGCAAAACAGTCAGGTTCATTGAGTCATCTTGATATGAATATGAACTGCCATCTGCCTCATCATTCACTGCCTCGTGAGAGTCTGAATGATTCAGAGGTAAACGAGTCACTGACAGCCAAGCACTCAGTCAGTAGCTCAGTCAACACGTTTATTCTTCTGTGATGGTACCCAATATTTGTTTTGAATGACTGAGCGTGCATTTTCTGTGGAAAAATGACTCAATTACATGCTGTGTGAGCGAAGGCAAGCGGTGTGCGTTGCCTGCTCGTGAGTGACTGAATGTTTTTGTTGGCTCTTTCATTGCTTCGTCCTTTACCGTTTGGTACAAACTGTCTGCACAGAGCAATGGATTGAATAGTGCAGTGCTTTCACACTCAGCCTAGGCAGTCAATAATTTTAAGCTCTGTTGCCGACTGCGACTCGGAATGAGCGGTTGGAGAAGGAGTTCTGGATAAAGTGAACGATGGGTCCGTTAAGACCTCAGTCGATTAGTTGCTTAAGGACGAGGGGCGTCCACGTTCTGTTGAAGGTTTTCGATATGTCGAGCGATACTATCTCGGTGTGCAGACCACTGTCGTAGGCGTTCTTGAGAACTTCCCCTATGGTTGCGAAATAGGTGGACGTTCCGAAACCTTGTCGGAAATCGTGCTGTCGGTGATCAAGGAAATTTCCAGCTTCGAGGTGTTGCTTTAGTCTTCGATTGACCATACGCTCTAGGACTTTGGCCATACAACATGTTAGCGCTATAGGACGGAACTGGCTGATTTCACGGATGGCTACCCAGGCTTTCGGGATGGGAACTACCAAGCTTTCCATCCATACTGCTGGGTACCCGTTAGTGAGCCAGAGCTTGTTGAAGAGGTCTAGCATCCGTAGCTGTCCTGGTACCGGTAGCCTCTTGAGGATATCCGATTTCGTCGGGTCCCACCGACTACCCGTTGCTGCAGCGAAGGGCATGCTGTAGTACCTGCCAAGATAATGCTTGGTTTATACCGGTACTGGCGGTGTCGGGTGGTACTATGAAGTCTGCGATGGATGCGGTTTTCTGCTTGAACTTGTTGTCATACTTGTCAATGGTTGCGAGCTCGGCGAAGTAGGTACCGAGTTCATCAGCTGCCGTTTCCGGATCGGAAACCGTGGAACCATTAACCTGGACGTGAAGTGGTGTCGTGCGTCGTTTCCCACTAAGGGCGTTGATTCGCTGCCAGAGATCGGCCGAGGATTGCGATGCGTTCATCCTTTCCAGGAAATCCATCCAGCTGGATCGCTTAGCATCACGGATTTCTTGTCGGCATTGGTTGCGTAGTTCACGGTAGTGAAAAAGGGCCTCCTCTCTGTCGTGGTGTCCGATGGGAAGCACGACACGAGACCGATGCCACAGTTTCGCTGTGCGGATATAGAAAAGTCCAAACTTTATCGTGAGTGGAAGGATTGGCAGAGTGGTTTGGAACGATATTTTGATGCCAACGATGTAACTGACCAGTACAAGAAAAGAGCAAAGTTGTTATATCTAGGGGGGGCACTGTTGGACAAAGTATTCACCAATCTTCCAGATGGCAAAAAGTTCCCAGTTGTGTCCATTGAGAAGAAATACTACGTTGTTGCTATTACTGCGCTTGATAACTATTTCTTGGAAGGAGTGGAGTCTCAATTTCAGGACCTTACCAAACCCACCGAAAATAACACAGCGGAGAGAGTGTTCAAAGCGAAAGAAAGACCAATGCAGAGGTTCAGTCGACCTCAAGCACCGTATATCAGATCTGGATATAGTCGTCAGCCTGTTCGTCAATTTGGCAATGTTGTTTGTTTCAACTGCGGAAGATCTGGGCATATTTCATCATCAGAGACTTGTTCAGCAAGAGGAAAAAAATGCCGAAACTGCAACCGGATTGGTCATTTTGATACCAAATGCAAATCATCTCCAATCTCCATGAAGTCGAGTCAGTCTTCCTTTTCGGCTCCGAACAAGAAAATTAGAGCCGTCGAAGAATTACGAGCGCAAGATTCTGAAGGTGATAAGATCTACTATGCATTTTATGGCGGCAATCTTTCGAATATGTTAAAGTTTGAAGTAGGAGGTGTTCGTTTAGACATGCTAGTAGATTCAGGAGCGGATGCAAACCGGGTGACCTTGGAGGCCTGGGAGCATCTAAAACAGGCTGGCGTTCTGATTGCGAACTTCAAAAGGGATTCGGACCGCAAGTTTCTCTCTTATGGGAGCAATAAACCTTTGGTTGTTCGAGGAAAGTTTACTGCTGAAATAAGAGTCGACAATAGAACGGCTGTAGCACAATTCTACGTTGTTGAGAAAGGACAAACTTGTCTATTGGGAGATCACACGGCAAAACAGTTGCAAGTGGCACTGAAAGTCAGTAGCAATCTCAACCATATCCAGGATATCGAACCGTTTGCTTCAATCAAAGACATCGAAGTTCATATTCACAAGCAACCGGACGCGAAACCCGTTGTGCAACCCGTTAGGAGGTTGCCGATACCCACAGAACAGAAGGGGAAGTGCAAACAAATCGGTGAATCAAAAATGGTTCGTTTTTCTGCTCAACAAGCTATGTGTTGTGGTAGCGTTCCACACGGGCTTTCTATGTGCACTCACACTATTATAGCATGCTGCCTATCTTAACTGCAGGCAGAAGATGCCTTCTACCGCTAGGTTCGCTAGTGTTCGCAAATGACAAGTGGAGCCACTTTCTGATCCGAAGTTCCACTCCTGTGCGATACCTCTTGAAGCAGAAGTCAACCGTAAGCTAGAGGACATGCTGAACCGTGACATCATCGAGCCAAAAACTGGTCCCACTACATGGGTCTCCCCGTTAGTGGTCGTTGCTAAAACTAACGGTGGACTTCGGCTGTGCGTAGATCTTCGGCGAGTAAATCAAGCTGTTTTGCGAGAACGTCACCCAATGCCGGTGATTGATCAGATTCTTGCGAGGATCGGTAGCGGAGCGGTATGGAGTAAGTTAGATATAAAAGATTCGTTTCTTCAAGTTATGGATTCTGTAGATTCTCGCGATATTCTCACATTCATTACGGACAAGGGTTTATTTAGATTTAAAAGATTACCATTCGGTCTAGTAACAGCACCGGAGATTTTCCAAAAAGTGATCGATGGAATTCTATGCAGGTGCGATGGTATCTGGATGATATTTTTGTTGTGGGAAGGAATGTTGAAGAACATGATGCTAGACTAGAAATGGTACTGATATGGCTAAACGAAAGAGGGGTGCAGCTCAATCGTGACAAATGTCAGTTTAGGGTAGAAAAAGTGGAGTTTCTCGGCCATAAAATTACTAGATCAGGCATAGCACCATCCCATACCAAGGTATTAGCAGTTATGGCTTTTCGTCCACCTGCGAATGAAAGTAAAGTTCGTAGTTTCTTAGGACTCGCAAACTACTTGAATAAGTATATACCGAACCTAGCAACCCTTGATGAACCACTTAGAGAGCTTACCAGGAAGGGCGTGACGTTTATTTGGGAACCACGACACGAAAAGTCGTTTCTAGCGATAAAGCAAGCTATGGCAGATGTTAAGATTCTATAATGCTGGCCATAGGACAGCAGTGATTGCGGATGTCAGCTCAACTGGGCTCGGAGCGATGCTGGTACAGATCGATGAGTACGGACAACAAAGGGTTATTAGCTTAGCGTCAAAATCTTTAACAGAAACAGAAAAACGCTACTGCCAGACGGAAAAGGAGGCCCTGGCATTGCTCCGGGCGGTTGAGAAATTTCAGTTCTACCTTCTAGGAAGAAGATTTGAACTACTCACGGATTGTAACTCTCTATTATACTTGTTTACGCCTCGATCTCGCCCTTGTCCCAGAATCGAAAGGTGGGTTCTTAGACTTCAGTGCTTCGATTATTCTGTTGTTCATATTCGTGGTGATGAGAATGCTGCTGATGCTTTGTCGCGCCTATCCTGCACCACTATAGAACCTTTCGATTCAGCTAAAGAGATTATTGTTCGGCATATTGCTGCAGTAGATGCTGAAACTGTCGCTGTTTCTTGGGAAGAGCTGCTTTGCACAACACGAGTAGATACAGAAATCATGGATATTTTCAAATGTCTAAAAGACAACTCGGTAGACTTATTACCCACTGCTTATCGTATTATTTCCGCAGAGCTTTGTGACGTAGGCGGAGTTCTTCTACGAGGTGATCGCATAGTGATTCCAACCGGGTTGCGCCAGCGGGTGATGGACAGTGCTCATGGTGGCCATCCTGGAATGAAAATGATGAAGTCTTTTCTCCGAACCGCAGTTTGGTGGCCTAAACTAGATGCCGACGTCGAAACTTATGTGAAAAACTGTCGTGGATGTGTGTTGGTGACAACTCCAGATGCTCCAGAACCAATGCTCCGAAAAGACCTGCCTTCTGGTCCTTGGGAAGACATAGCAATTGACTATCTTGGACCACTTCCCGAAGGTCAGCACCTGCTCGTTGTAGTAGATAGCTACAGCCGATATTTAGAAGTGTGTGAAATGACATCTACAGACTCTAGTGACACCATCGGACGTCTTCGTGAGATGTTCAGCAGGTACGGCGTACCATCGCTTATTAAGGCAGACAACGGTCCACAATTTGCGAGTGAAGAGTTCAAGAACTTCTGTAAAGGATATGGGGTACAACTAGTGAACACAATACCATACTGGCCACAAATGAATGGTCAGGTTGAACGACAGAACCGTTCTATATTAAAGAGACTACGTATTGCACAAGAGCTTGGTAAGGACTGGAGCTGCACGAATTCTTGCTAGTGTATCACGCTACCTGGTGAACTGGTGAAGCTCCCTCAAAACTGATGTTTGGGCGGCGCATCAAGAGCAGACTTCCTCGTGTGCCCGTTTCTTTTGACGATGAGGCTGTGCGAGATTTCGACAGTCTTCAGAAAGAGAAGGGAAAGGTATATGCAGATGAAAAACATCATGCTCAATCCAATAGCATCCAAGAAGGTGACCGTGCCTTCTTAAAGAGAATGAAGAAAGGCCACAAGTTGGAAGCAGCTTTTTCCCCGGAAGAGTTTGAAGTTGTAAGAAAAAGGTGATCTGACACAACCGGCCGGTCGTCAACATCTGGAAAGGAATTTCGTCGTAATGTTACCCACTTGAGGAAGGTTCCAGGCAGCGGCGACCAGGTTGCTGACATCGAGCCTGAGGGTTCAGCTTCAGAAGATGATCTGCAGCAGCTGGCGAACAGGACATCGAAGAGTGCTTTAGAAGATGATATGTTGCGTAGTTCCAGTTCAGCTATACCTCAAGAAGAGACTTCCAAACGCAAACGATGTGAACCCACAAGATTCAAGGACTATGTGCCATATTACATTCAAGAAACAAAAGGTGGGGTTGTAGGATCTGGCAGCACGGTTAGGGAGAGGATGTAGATGAGGGTTTTGACAACACGCCAAAGGGGGTATGGAGGAGGAGAGAGGGAGAGAGATGAAAAAGAAAAAGGGAGGTTTGGTGTTTGGGATGAAGACGCGAATAAAGTGAGCTCTGAATAGGAAACTAATTACCCGTGTAATATCCGATTTATCCGAAGGGACTTCACGACAGTACAGTTACATACAGTGGTGGCCTTCAAATTGTTATAATCAATTGAACTGAAATTTTAATAAAATAATTTTCTTAAGCACGCCGTCATTTATTGGCCAATATCGTTGAAATTTTAAAACTATAACACTTCGGAAATGTCGAATTATAAATGTGCTAATTAGTTGGCCATTTTCAAACAGCCAATCAATTTCCGGCAGGCGCTTCCAATTATTTGATATTACGTACACGCAAATTCAGCATAATTGTAGTTCTGTGTCAAAATTTCAGCTCAATTGATCATAACATCATAAGTTGGCTAATTTGTATGAAAATCGGCCTATTGTGCCACCACTGTATACCATTTCAAACCAGTCTACCACTAACTAACCGTGCTTCCTATCATGTCATTGATGCCTCGCAAAAAAGGCCATATCTGCATTACCTAAAAAATCTTTATCAAACCACGACGAAGACACTTCGATGAATCATCATACCGCTGCACTTCAACGCGATGGTTGGTCGCACCAGAAAAGGAAACACCCATTACCTTCATTCTACATTCGCACCTCCATTAACGAAGGTGCTCAAAATTCCTCTGTTTCAGCGATCTTCGTAGCACGAAAAACTCCCAATTAATCATCTGTTTAACTTTTCACCACATTTCCCACATCGCTACTCGAGTGCGACCGTCTTCCAAAACAAATTCCTTCCCGGAACCCACGCATATGGCCCTATTCCGCACAGATTGGTCACAACCGTAGCACGCTGGCAGCATTGGAAGATACTAGGCCACTCACTTTTTTTCTCTCACAGTTACGAAAAATCAGATGTGATTCAATTTTGTAAGAGTCACACCACCAATCACTCACCTAAAAATACAACACTAAAATAGACTTAGCCGAGCAGCAGTATGGATATCAACAGATCAATCGCGGTCTTTGTGTTTCAAGCACGACGTGTCTGGTTTTCTTTATTCCGGTTGCAAGTTGGTAATTCGTCTTCTCCGGACGAGTCGCGAGCGAGGACTGAATCTGAATGTGTAAAAGCGCCACAATCATTACACACGGTTGTACCATTTCGCGTGTACTAAGTCACATTCACTACTAGTGCGCTAGTAGTGGTAAACGATATCAACTGGACTTGTCGCCAGTGTTGGATTTAAGCCGTGAAGACGGCGGTGGTGATTCCGTTGTTCATATACGTTAGATAGCTTGTAGTGAAAATTTCAGAAATTTTTACCAATTCTGAACCAATCTGAAACCGCGAGTAACACACGACCATGCATTGAAAGCCCGTTCACAAGTCCATATCTGAACCTCTGAAGGAGGTCACCCGTTGTCGCTGTCGCTGAAAAGTCTCACTGCAGCAGCAGCAGCAGCAATAACGACAGACAAGTAAAGGCCACACGATCGGCGACCGACGGAGACGCCAGCAAAAAAGGGTAAAGCGTAAAAACATCACCCGTATATGGTCATCTTCGAATCTCCAGCTCTTCAAGCGAAGCAGCGTAAGCTGCTTGCAGTTGTGCACAAATTGTGACACAGTTTTAGAGTTTGGTTCATTCTGACTATGTAGGTATCTACCTAGATCAAAATTAAACCGAAATTCTTCGAAAACTCTCCAATTCCTTAATTCAAACTTGATACCATCTCCGGTTTGGACAGATTGGGACCTATCAGCTCAAAAATGGTCATCATCAGTGCGAAGTTGTTTTGTCCAAAAATGGACTCATTATGCAAACCGGTCAACAATTGCTAAGTGCCTGCGTCCGCTGCGCTACTGCGGCCTGCGGCACAAAAAAAAAACCCATTGCATAATCCAATCGAATGCAATAATTATTTTCGTTACTTTGCACAGAAATATAACCAGATGATATTAAAAATTTAAAATCCAGGACGTCGCCACGCAAGTCCGGAAGTCGAACGAAAACAAACCCGTTCGGCTCGGAGTGACACACATCTTCCTTTCGACGTTATTTTTTTGTTTACTTTAGCTAGGAGGCGGATATTTCCGACCGCGGTTAGTAATCTGCACATAAATACCAAAAAAAAAAAAAAAAAAACGAATCACGATGGGACTATGCCCCGTAGCTACCATGTAAACTGTATGCTCAGAAAGCAAGATTCTGACGTCAGCCGAATGGAATTCAAGGCAATGACAAACATTGAAGGAAAAAAAACATGACCAAGTTGTTCGGTCCCAAATCCTCCCGAAATTCACTTTTGCCACCCAAATTCCATCAACAACATGAAATTTCACCGCTAAGCTTGGGAAATTCAATAAAACTTACCGGAAATGCGCCGGAAAACTGAGGAAATTTGACGAAACAACACGCACTTGAATTTTGACTCACTCGCGATGGATTTTTTTTATGTTGGTTCGTTCGTTGCTTTCTTTTGTGTGACTGTTTTCTCGAATGAGATAAACGGGGAACAAAGTGGAAAACGGAGCAAAAACTGCTGACGGTTTGACAGTTTGATACACTGGGATAAAAATGAACTTGGAATTTTGCGGTCAGCACTAATCTGAGGCAGTGGTATCGGATCTTAAGGTATTAGCAACAATCAATACGAAACTAATTATTTTAAATTGGCTCTCTACTTGACTAGCCTATTGGTCCCAAGCAAACGATTAACGTATCCCATTATAGCTGAAATTCTAGTATTACACTATGTTTTTTTTGATTCGCTATGAAAGATTGACAGATAAAATGAGGGGTTCGTGGATTTTCCTATGTTCCGAGGGGTGCATCGATTAGCTTGGGACCAAAGAGAGTACCAGAGCTGAGCCAAAAACTTTAACACTTTTCTTCGGGACCTACTAGTCTTAGAGTTACCTCTATGGTATCTCCCCGCCTAACCGACGACTCGATAATCCGGAAAATGTATCAACGGATTAAAAAGTATAAACACGCGTTTGAATACAAGGTGCTGTCAATTTTCAGCACGACACGAAAGGTGAAAAGAACACAAATCTCGCGTCACTTTTCAAATAGACCAATGTACACTGATAAATTGAACTATTTTCATTTTGGTTGAAATTTAATCAACTTGACATTAAACTCAGTTAAATCATATCGAATGATTAAAAATTAATCCTCTCTTTCTAAAAAATAAGCATCTGATATTAATCCCAGTTTAATCATGGTTAATTAGATTGTAGGTTATCTCTTTTTGAATAAATTTGAATCATTTTTGATTCTATTTTAATAATTTTTGATTGAATTTTAATTTTTTCTGATTATATATCAGTATTGAAAAGAATAACATTTAATACTGAAAAGATTATTTCGATTTTAATCATGCATGACTACTGCCGAAGTAATCATGGCTCGGACTCAATAAGGTGAAGCAGGAATCTGCATACTTTTTAAGCTTTTTTGATTCAATTTACCTTTGAGTGTAACAAATGTAAACAAATCGAGTTAAGCGATACAAACTATTACCAACAAACAATACGAAACTAACGATTTTAAATTGGCTCACCACTTTAGTAGCCTATTGGTCCCAAGCAAACGATTAACGTACCCTATTCTAGTTGAAATTCTATTACTACACTATGTTTGTTTTGATTCGCTATGAAAGTTTGACAGATAACATCAGGGGTGTGTGGATTCATGCAGAACATGCAGGGGTGAGTGAAATAGCTTGGGACTGCTTGGGACCGTTGTTCTGGTACTGAGTGAGCCAAAAATAATAATGATTTTCTTCGGGACCCAGTGGTCTTAGAGTTACCTCTATGCTATTACTATTCTATGTGATACAAAAACACCCATCCAAATTTACTTTCATTTATCACGCAGAAAAAAACATAGTGCAATCAAACAAATTATGTTTCATGTTAAACAAAATTTTAAATAGAATATGGATCAATAAAATTGATAGATTAATTCAACAACAAAATTGAGTTGGGATAATACTACTAATTTTATTGAATTGAACATCGGCTTTTATTGATTTAAAAAAATGTTTGCTTGAATCAAATTGAAGCATCATTTAAAGTAATTGTCGTTTTTGTTGCATTGAAATGTTATTTTTATTGTTTCAAAACCAAATTTATTTAAATTCCCAGGTCAGATTAGCTGTCATTATAAAAAATAAACTCACATTTTTCAATTATGGTTTCAATTAAGTTACTAACTAAGCCACTGTTTGTTTGTTAATTTATTGTGCCTGAACGGGTGGAAGAACGTTTTTCCCTTGTGCGCCTTTCTGTACACCTTAATAAAGATAAATCAATTCTGTACACCATGGTGTAGATTCTAATGTTATTGTTGGTGATAATTTCGAGGGTAATTTTGACAATTGTTGTGCTGCTGGTAGCGATTCTGCTGTAGATGCCGATGTTGACGCATTTCAGTGGTGCAGAGGAGGAGTTCCTGTAATGATAGAATATTGGAAAATGCCTACACAGCAAAAAAAGTTGTTGAATATTACATCGAAACTGATGCAACCAGGTCAATCCATCGGTTGTGTAATATCACATTGTACGATGTACATCGATTTTGCGAACAAAATTACATCCATTGATGTAATATTGTATCTGCTTTTTGCTATTACATCATTATTTCATACATCAGCTTGAATTACGTTGATCGATATTACATTTTTTTTTTGCTGTGTAGGAAAATGATCATTTTACTTTTTTGATTTTTTATTAACAATGTTATGATGTCGATACAGACTGACACTGCACTACACACACATAAATATTTTTAAACAATTGTGTTGGTTTGATTTAAATGGGCTTCTTTATTGATTTGAAACTTCATTATGAACTGAAACAAATAGAAATTTCATATTAAATAATAACAAAATATTTTATTGGTTTACGCCTCAGTGTTTTTTCTGCGTGATTTAAGAAAATCTTAGCTCAAAAATTGTCCAATGTAAAGTTTGAAATGATGGGTAGGTACATGATTGTTACTTCGGTCATTCGGACTGCCTAACATGATTGGTGCTCGTTTTCTAAAGGTGGGCCAATCTAAAGTTAGGTATTCTACTATGAAATCTGTGAGAAGGAATCTGTATCATGTAGATCAAAACGTCCAATGTAACACTCATTGATTATGTCAGTGAGAATAATCGTGCAATGTAACATGTCCGATGTACAACGCGAATTGTGTGGTTTTTTCTATGTTGTAGCATGAAATTCAAAGTTAAATTGTGATTTTATCGTTTCTACTGAATTTTCAACGTTATTATTCACTGACTCAATTAAAAATAGTATTGCAAAATGTATTGTTTCTAAACAGTTTAAAAAATAATCTGTCGAACTTCAACTTCGATTTTCTCAAAATGGTGGATATGTTACATTGGTCTATTTGAAAAGTGACGCGAGAAATAAGTGAGTAAATATTGTTCAGTCACTCAAAAAATATTGAAATCTAAATAGTATAAAAGTTACGCATAATCGCAACTCTCCGTACCGAGAGAGAGAATGCAAACTTAGTATAAAAATGGTTTATGCGTGCCATAGTATAAAATTGAAATATACTTACAATGCATAAATACCAGGGGGAACGACACTTCAGGATTATCCCATTTTTATCAAAACCTCTCATAAAAATTTCAACGTGCACACAATTTCAGTCCATCCTATATCTATTTTTTCTATTCCCAACTTATCCCTTCTGCATGCACACAAATTGTCAAGCAAGCCGTGCAGTTTCTCGAAGTTTTCAGGTCGACCGCGAAGCACTCTGCCATAATCACTCTCAGTTTTCAACAATCTCTACAACAAACACCATGTATGTCAGCTGGCTATGCCGGTTAAAAATCGGTGCAAAATTTTAAAAAATGATGACCACTCGTCTAAAATCGGTCGTGGGACAACATCAAGAGCATCACGGAGAAGACGGAAATGCACATCCATTTCCCGGACTCAAACCGATCGAATTCGACGGATAAGAGCCCAGGTGTCTGTGTGTTGTAGCATGGAAGTTACGACAAGCAGGTGGAAAAGGAATTTAGGTCATTTTTTCCACTCGGCCCAAGTTTTACAAAAATACAAATACAAAACCGGGGGG